TTTTTAAATTTTTTAGCTAAAATATGCTTTTTTTAGTCCAACTAACTTTCTAATTTTTATTGTATAAATACATGTAAAAATAAAAATAAAAATTCAATAATAAATAAATTTTTTAAAAATTATTTTCACAACCACGTTATTTTTTAGAAAAAATTGGTTTAAGGTCCCTCTCTCACTTTTCGTAATGGAAGAGATCCACAAAATTATTTTTTGATGTCTAAGGTTCCTAAACATATATAAGAGAAATTTGACTGGGTTTGATTCTCTTCCTCAAAACCTCATTGCCCGATTATTCTCTCTTTAGCAGAACCTCCCAATCTTTTTCTCTTCTTTTTTTTTTTTGTTTTTTCTCTGTACTTTCTAGATCTCTCAACCTTATTTCATGGATCTATAAACCCACCCACCTGCATTGTTGTCTTTCGTCTAGGGTTTACGAGCCACATGCTTCGTTCGCAATTCTCGCTCTTTCGAAGCCATGCAATTGCTTGCTTCGAGCAAAGGAGCTGATTATCAACTCCGCCGCTGCTGCCAACAGGAGGTACACCGGAACCCTAGAAACACTCGTTGAGACTCCGACGAGGCATTCGAGCTTGGCGATCTTTGTTTTTGATGATGGTGTGTTTGAATTTTGTTGTGAAGAAGAGAGAAGATGTGAACTCTAATGCTAGAGAAATTTCTTCAGACAGCAACAATCGCCACACTTTTCAGACAGTTACCACTGCTAAATAGAACCTTCCATAAACATTTTCTTTTCTTTTATTTTCATCATCTTTCTTGCATTCCTACCAACAAAGTTAATAGAAAGTATGAATACATATAGCAAAACCCTTTGCGCACATGTTCTATGTCCTAACAACCCTGGCCAAGATCTGCTAGGCTGCAAACTGTACTTTCATCTATACAAGCAGAAAATACACTCCTTGTTTCATTTGTTGATCTAATTCTTTCGTCTGTAATGCATATCAGTTCAAAAAATACATAAAGCATATCAATTTTTGTTTGCTGAATCTTTTTCCTCTAGAGAAATTCTGGGAATCCAAAGAAATTTCAAATCAGAGAAATTTCTAGCTAGAGAAAGTTCAAACCGGTCTCTCCCTCTCTTCCTCTCTGCTCTCCGGCATGTAGTTGGTGCTGTACTATGTGTTCCAGTGCTACTGGTTCTTTTGTTCCATCTCGACGATCTCACCGTCCATGGTACTGGTCTAGTTATGCTGTTGGTCGGTGATTCAAGAAAAGAGTCCCCCCAGGAATTTCTCTGGGTTGATCCAGAGAATTTCTCTGGTTTCAGCCAAGAGAAAATTCAGTTCAACACCAACCTCAACACCACGCGCAACCATGGCAGCAAGCTTCTGATCAACTCTCTCTCTCTCTGCAGTGTCGGATTTGAAAAATATATACATATGCATGGACCAGCTTGAACAAGGATTGGTATCTCTACTAGTTTCTTCTCCTGATGAAGTTCCATCTTCAATGGAGGATGGTTTTTCAGCTCTTCCACCTAAAGTCCCCGATGTTGGGAATCTAGGGAGTGAGATACCTGGTTTGGATTCAGCTGTTCACAGTGATGACGTTCCATCTTCAATGGGAATTCTTCTGATAATGGAAAGTATGTATATAATATTGTACTGTTGCCTTTCTTCCTCACCTTTGAGAAGCAAGGAAGTGAGTTGAAGTAGGGGAATTCTTATGTTAAAAAAAAAAGGGCAGATAAATTTACAGTGGGAAGTTTAGGGAAGTTCAGAGAAATTTTTCAGAGAAATTCTTTCCAGAATTTCTCTGGACTAATTTTCTCTGACTTGAATTTTCTCTGGACCAATTTTCTCTGGATTGATGTTGAGGGACCTTAGACATCATGAAAATATTTGATGTTCTTTCTACTATAAAATCATAATATCAGGGATCTTAAAAAAATACCCCTATTTTTTATGTGAGAATCAGCTTTTTCGCACAAGGAATCAATATTATCGATATTTTTATTTATACATAGATTAATTATACAATAAGACACATTTTTTTCATATAAAATGAGACCAAAAAAATAATAATAACATTTTCATCATATAAAATTATTGTTTTATGTTTCTAATTATTTTTTTTGGGGGTATTATTACACTATTTTATTTATTTATTTACTTATTTTTACACCATTTGCTTTTACAGTTTTACCAACTTGATGTTAGCAATGATTGTTTTTGCTTCACAGCTGGATCTGGACGGTTGGAGATTTCTGGCCCCCAAACCCCACATGCCGCCATCATCTTTTTCTCTTCACTTTTCATGAAGGTGGTAGACTCCAAAAGTCCTTTTTTTCCTCTTTACTTTCTGATTTTCCATTTTTTCCTATTTATTTTTTAAAATAATTTTGAATCTTTTTAGGAAAAAATTAGTGAAATATCACTTTCTAACTTTAAATAGTATAAGGGGCTTAATATATTTTTTTTATTAAATAAAGGTTCTCAATAAAATTTCTCTATGATCAGACTATATAAATTTTGAAAATTTTCTTCGAAAATTAAAATTTCTTTGTGAAGTGTCAAATTTCTTAGTGCTAAAATTTCTCTGTAAAAATATTTAAGGAACTCAATTACTGTAAAAATATTATATACCTTTTATCTTATAAAATTTTAATATGAGTAACCTTAAACTTAAAACCTCTTTTTTTTAGTAACAATATGCAAAAATATTTTTTTATTAAATTATTTATTTTTGGATACATTAATAAATAAATAAGGTAAACTACCAATATGTCATAATAGTCAGACTTAATTCTCATCAAATCCTATTGAAAACAAATTAAATTTTGGTAAAATTGTCGCTAAAATATTTTTTTTGTGATAATTTTTTACATACGTCGTTAAAAATTGATAATTAATGGCTTTTTTTGTCATAATTTTTATAAATTGTCGCTAAAATTAATAATTAGTGACATTTTTTATGACAAATTTTTCTCATAAAATCTATTAAATAATAAGTCTACTTATCAAGATTTACACGTAAGTATCCCTAATAAATATGCGCAGGATTTATTACATTATTGTAGCTTTATTTTTTTGTATGTCAAACTATTACTTATGTTTTGGTAACACGAAAGAAAATAGTTTATTGACTTATTAGTTTATTTGGATTATATCATTTTTTTAAAATTTATTTTTATATATCTTTTCATAATGAATAAAATAATGATAATAGCAATATCCAAAATCACTTTAAAAAAAGAAATATATATTGGTTGAACTGTTGACTGGTATTAGAAGTAAAATTAGATTTAGCAATTTTTTAAAGTATTTTTTTAGTATAAAAATGTTGAAGTTAATGTATTTCACAATTGTTAAAAAAGTTACAAGTTATTTAGATAAGTTCACATTTTCTATTTTTGTCTTTAGTGTTTCTTTTATAGTTTTTCCTATAGATACATCTAAGTATGAATCTACTTTGTGTGTTTATTTTATGGAAAATATTTGAGGGTCATAATTTTTGTGGTCATAATAGTTTAAAATTGTCAAACAATATCGTTTTGGGTGCAAAACATGCCAAAACGACGTCGTTTTGACAGTTTTGAGCCATTGTGACCACAAAAATTGTAGTCTTTTAGCATTGTTGTTCTTTTATAGTGTTTTTTGTCTGAATCGGCATGCTTGGTTATCATTTTTTTAAAAATTTTACTTTCTTATTTTTCGTGTTTTTTTGTTTTTACTGATTTTTTAAAATATTTTGAGCAATTTTTTTTTTTAATTTTTAGACATACCTAACATATATATACCTAAAAAATAAAAAAATTGAAAAAAACCTTTTAAAAATTCACTAAATATCAAAAATATAAAAAAAATACAAGAATTCAGTACATTTTTTTTATATTTTTATGTATTTATTAATTTTTAAAAATAATTTTTCACAAATTTTTTACTTTTTAGATACATCTAAGTAAGGTACATCTAAAAAAGTAAAAAAAAAATGTTTAAAATTTTAAAAACATTCATTAAAAATAAAAAAATACGGAAACTAAAAAACTCAATTTTCAAAAAATTTAATTCAAAAAACTCAAATCAAATTGGGCTTGTTTGGTTTGTTTTTTGTTTTTCAAAAAACTTGTTTGGTTTGTTTATTTATTAATTCAAAAAACATTCACCCATTGGGTTTGTTTGGTTTGTTTTTTAGAAAAAATTTTGGGAAAAATTCTCTACAAACAAATTTTCAAGAGTAATCAAACAAAACAAATTTTTTTAAAAAAAATCTCAAAATTTTGTTTGGTTACATATTTTCCAAAATTACTCTCTCTCTCTCATACACATCAAATCAATAACTTTTTTTAAAACTCTCTCGCCAAAACAATTTTCTAAAACTATTTCTGAGAAAAGACAAACTAAACAAGTTTTTGTACTTTTTATTTCAAAAATTACTCTACAAACACAAGCCAAACACACCCGATTATTAGTTTTTTAGATCCTTCACCTTAAAAGTAAAAAATTTCAATGTCACAAAAAAAAAAAAAAAAAATCCCAAAACAATTTTCTAAAACTATTTCTGAGAAAAGACAAACCAAATAAGTTTTCGTACTTTTTATTTCAAAAATTACTCTACAAACACAAGCCAAACACACCCGATTATTAGTTTTTTAGATCCTTCGCCTTAAAAGTAAAAAATTTCAATGTCACAAAAAAAAAAAAAAAAAAAAAGTGTAACTTTTTAGTAATTACCAAGATAAATCTTGTTTAAAAAGTTTTTTTTCACAAATGTGAATTAAAAATGTAATTACATTTTTTGACTTAAATAATGAAAAAAATAATTAAAAGAGTCGTTGTCAAATAAGGCCTAATTATTCTCAATAAATTATTAATTTACATCCAGTTGGTTTACTTACAACAATTTTTTTATTTAAAAAAAAAAAAAGAAAGAAAGAGAAAACCCTTACATCCAATTGGTTTATTTACAACAATTTTTTTATTTAAAAAAAAAGAAAAAGAAAACCCGTTTCCTCATCACATTTCTCTATATATCCTCCGTGAAAATAAATTCACAAGCCTCCTCTCCTTCTCTTTCTCCCCCTCATCAATCTTCAACACCACTTTATTTCTTTGCTTCTAGTTTTCAGTGTCTTGAGTCTCTCAGATCGGAAACTGAAGCTCTGGTCTTTTCTAGATCCAAATAAAGAACCCAGTTGAAAGATCTTTTTTTTGGGTGAATCAGTTGAAAGATCAGTGACCCATTTCTAGATTTTCTCTAGAAAACTAACCACTTTCTCATCTGTGTTGGGGGTTTCTCAACTCACCATCTTCTTTCAAAACCCAGTTGTTTCTCTCAAGTCAATTTTAATGCTCAATACCCTGTTCTTGATGTTTGAAATTCATGTCTCAAATTCTCAGTGAACTATTTGTTTCTGGGTTTATGATAAATTCCACATACAGACGCAGGACCCATCTCGTTCAATCCTTCTCAGTTGTCTTCCTCTACTGGTTCTATTACATTTCATGATTATTTAGCCTAAAAAATCTATATATATCTATATTATTATATATAAATCTCTACATCTATATATCTAAACTAAATTAGTGCTTTTTATCATCTGGGTCCTGCTTATTTTGATTAAATAAATCTCTCTTGATCTAATAATTTGTGTGATTTTGTGTTTGAGGCAAAAAAATCTGTCATGGCTTCCCCAAGTGGGACATCTTCAGGGTCATCTCTGCTTCAGAACTCAGGTTCTGACGAAAATCTTCAGAGTCTGAGGGATCAAAGGAAGAGAAAGAGGATGATTTCGAATCGAGAATCGGCGAGGCGGTCTCGGATGAAGAAACAGAGGCATTTGGATGATCTGAATTCCCAATTAGCTCAGCTGAGGAAAGAAAACAATCAGATCATCACAAGATTCAATGTCACAACCCAAGAGTTCTTGAAGATTGAGTCTGAGAATTCGATTCTGAGAGCTCAAGTTGCAGAGCTTAGTCACAGATTGCAGTCTCTGAATGAGATTATCTGTTTCTGGAATTCTGGGAATGATTGTTTTGGTTCTGAAGATGGTTTCAATGCTTCTGATGAATCTGTTGATGGGTTGTCGTTGTTGAATAACCCATTGATGAGTTATGTGTATTTGAACCAACAACCCATCATGGCCTCTGTTGACATGTTGCAGTATTGATCACCAGGTATCAGTTGGTGTTTTCTATAGAGAGAGAGAGAGAGAGAGAGAGAGAGTCTGTTGTATTTTGTATGGTCTAAAATGGTAAGGAATAAGAGGAAGTGATTAGCTTAGTGAGATATGATTATGGGGTTCTCCTCTTTTTTCTTTTTTTTCTTTTTTTTCGATTATGGGGTTCTTGTAAATGGGCTACTACTAGTATGGATTTTCAAGAACTGTATTAGTGTAATTTGTCTCTTATATTCTCAAGTTTTTATGTATTTTATTTTTATCGTGTTCAAAGGAGTCTCAATTAATTTTTAAATATAAATAATTTCTCATCTCATATATATTGGCTCCGTTTGGCAAGATGAATTTGGGGTTTTTTTTTTTTTTTTTCACAAAAGATAAAATAAATTATTTTAGTAAAAAAAATAAAACATCGTATTCAATCTATAATTATTATTCTTTTTTTACAAAAAAAAAATTAAAAAAATTAAAATAATAAAAAAAAATCAAAAAATCAATCCACTTTTCAAACGTAGGTATTATTATATCCCAACTCTTAAACTACTATAAACCTTACAGTAAGAGAATTATAATCTTATCAATTAAAATAACTCAATTTGATTTACTCTCTAATTATACAATAGTGACAATATTCTTGATGTGAAGAAAAACTATACATGCACAGAATGCATAAATTTGAGATAAAATGTCCTTAATTATAAATATAAATATAAATATAAATATTTTCATATTTTTTTATGATTTTTATTTTTTTATTTTTTATTTTTTTGTACGCATAGGAAAGTTGTGATTTGAATTTTGTTCTCAAATTTTGTGTGGGGTGTTTTATGATTAACATTAATTATGGTGTTTGACTGAAATCATTTGCCAAATATCAAACAAAATTAAATAATGGGTTCATTTGGATATTAAGAAAGGGATTGACCTCTGTCCGGTCCTTAATCGGATTGGATCGTATTGTTGAGTCTGTAAAGGTTCACTACGGGTTCCGTTTTGATAATTTGTACCGTTCAATATGCAGAACTTGTCGAGTACTATATGTCTGTAAAATATCACATTAATCGGATATCGATAGCTATGTGATCAAAATAGATTTTCGTCAATCGTTAATTTATTCACCGGTTATTTTTTTATACAAAATTGATTTGATCATATAACTATCGATATCTGATTAACGTGATTTTTTATAGCCATATAGCACTCGACGAGTTCTACACATTGAACGATTCAGATTATCAAAACGGGACCTGTGATAGACTTCTACAAATCTAACAACACAATTCAATCCGATTAAAGACTGGACAGAGGCCATATCCAGAAAGGGAACGACTTCTCTCCTGTCTCTAAGAAACTCCAACCTTATTGTAGGTGATTAGTATATTACAGGATAAAGTACAGTTGTTTCTGTTTGCGATGTGTGGCTCTGCTTTTGATATTATAAGGTTTAGAGACACACCGACTATCTGTTCTTTGCTGATACCTCAGCTTCCTCTAGACTGCTCATCCATGGTTGAATTCCGGGTATTTTGTTCGGGAATTTTTCTTTATTGAATTTTGTGTAATTAGAAGTGCAAAACAAGCTCGTAGCGATACATTTTTCTCTTCTATTTGGTGCACCATATTCTTGTTAAAGCGAGGTCTGAGTGGATAGTGTTATGAGAAATGATTTTATGCCATGCAACATGCTAAAATGGCAAATGCTTTTGAAGGCCAAGTTGGAATGAGACTTCCAAATATGGAAGGCTGCTCTTGCTAGTGATCATAATTATACTGTGAAAGGGTTCATAATGTGTTGCGCCATTTATGCATGAAGGATTCCTTGTCTTCAAATAATTTTATTCCTATGTCTTAAATCACTCACAATTATTAGATCATATAAAAATATTAAGATGTGAAAATCTCAAGACATATTCAATGATTATGAGTGATTTAGAATAAGGGACTGGGTTGTTTGGGGATAGAGGATCTTGGGCGCCATTTATGCTTCTTTTATTGGAAAATGTCAAGTCCATTAAAGTCCTTTAGTTAGATTGAAGTATGCAATTTTTTGTGAACTAAACCTAGATGAGAACTTAGTTCAAAAAAAAAAAAAAAAAAAGAAAAAGAAAAAAAACCTAGATGAGAACATTGATATAGTGAATGAGATACTGTTTTATTAACAGTTTTTGAGTTTACGTATAATATCATTTTCTTAAAAACAAATTATTTTTAGAGGACAGTTAGTCCTTAATGACTATGCATCCCCTACCTTGAAGTTATTTTCAGGACTTTCAATATATATGAAACGAGATATTACATGAAGGAAATGAAGGTCAGGAACGATTAGCCATTAACAACTTGCCATGCATCCCTTCTTCCTTTCGATGCTATCTCTAAGACTTTGGCCTATAAATTATGTGGAACAAAAGACTACAACGCCTTAGACACTTTCGTCATATGAAAAAACAAAAAACAATCTTGTTGTCTTTATACAAGAGTCCACAGACAAAGAGATTGGCGAAAGAATTTAACAAAAGAGGACAAAAGAAAAAGACAAAACCCTAGTGCAAGTTGAGTAAACATTTTGAAATCAAACATGTTCCTAACTAGCTACTCCCTTCGTTTTAAAATAATAGTTTCTTTTGAAAAATTTAATTTTTTTTAGTAATATAATTATTATATTTTAAAAATATTAATTTTTCAAAATTATTATTTGATAGTATATTTTTTAAAAAATATCAATTGTCATAATTATACTTTTTGTATTGTTAATAAATTTAAAAGAATGACAAAATAAAAAATTCATATTGTTTTAGTCTTTAATTTTTGAATAGATATTAGTATTTTGAAATAATAAAAAAAAAATAAAAAACTAATATTTTGAGACAGAAGAAATACAATATAACAAAGGGATTGTGAAAAATCTTTTGAAAACAAAAACATGCATGATTAAATCTTGGAAAATATTTGAGAGATCTAAAAAGAGAATTCTAATAGTTCTAATATATGTGTAAGCCCCATCTAATATGATATTTTGACCTTATATATATATTTTTAATTTTTCACATTACTAAAATACTCAATTAGAATTCTAAAGTTAAGGTATGAATTAGTGCTGTTAAATCTTAGTGCTATGCCGGTGGGCGTATTTACTTAGTGGTTGGTGCTGAACAAGTCCCACGTGCAAGTGTACAATGTACTAAGCACAAGTACCATAAGCACATGATCCCCTCCCTTCCTCCAAAGAAATTAAAAAGAAGGGTTCAGCTTTTTTTCAATTAGGGATTAAGATTGGACAATTTAATTTACCAAATGTGATACGTCTCCCGAATTGGAAGCCCCTGAATCCCCCGAAATTAACAATGCAGAAGAAAAAGGCAAATAAGAAGAAGAGGAAGAAGAAGAAAGAAAGAAAGAGGCAGGGTAGAGAAAGAGAGAGATCATCAACTTCATCATCAACCATCAACCAAAAATCAAACCCACCCCAACACATCATCATCAACACAGCTTCATCATCAACCAAGAATCAAACCCATCCCATTCCCTTCACTTCAGATCCAAAAAAAAAAGAAAATCGGGTTGGGCTGTGACGGAGGCGAAGGCGGCGGTGATCGGCGAACTAGGCTGGGCTGCGATGACGACCGGGTTGGGCGACAATCGGCGATCGGCGAACCTCTCTTCTCTTTCTCTCTTCCCCTCTTCTTCTCACTTTTCTCTGCTCTCTCTCTCTGTTTTCAGACATAAGGAAAAAAAATAAATAAATAAAAAACCGGGGGATTCGGGGGGAGAGAGATTCGAGCAACGAAGCTTTATTCTTAATTTATATTATAGGTTTATTTTTGAATTCTGTTTTAATGATCAGAACTATTTATATTTTAAAATTTATTGAATATGTTATTCATGTAAATAATCAAGTTAATCGGATAACGATAATTATGAGTTTGAATTAGTTTTATATGGATTATTTATTTTCTTATTGTCTATTTTTTTTATACAAATTGATTCGAACACGTGATTTTCGTTATTTGATTAAATTAATTTTTTGCATGGATGATGTATTCGACGAATCCTAAAATATGAATGGTTTAAATTATCGGAACAGAGCCCAAAAGTGGACCCATGGCCAGTGGCGGAGCCAGAAAATTAAATTAGAAGAGCATTTATTAATTATAATTTTGAAAATTTTTACAAAAATATTTCACGAAAGTTTTTACGATTGATTTCGAGAAATATTAGAAAAATAATGCTATTTGTAACTAGTGTATCATGGACAATACAAAAAATATAGATATAAGTCTTAAAATAAATTATATAATGATAATACCACGTCATCATTAACATATGATATCACCAACTAATAGTACATAAACACATAGAGAATAAACCTCACATGTTAAATGTAACTAATAATTCAATAAATTTCATATATTTATAGTGAGATTACTTATACTTGCATGTCAATAATAATAACATCACCGTTACGTTCAAAATTTTTCATGGATAATATAGTTTATAATAGTCTATTCATTTTCAATTAAAACAACCATTATTATTCTTATAATTTTTAAAATGTTATTGACATTTTACTCTAATGATATTTTTATAATTTTTTTATTTTAAATTTTTTTTTTATGTTTACAAATTTTTTTTTTTCAAAATCTAAGAGGGGCACGTGACTTCCTCGAGCCTTACCTCCCTTCGCCATTGCCCACGGCATGGACTAAGCTATCCAGTCTTGCTCTCAAACGGGAGACTAACGGGATGCTAAAAAGAAATAATGGTTGCATAGATGGTATTTTGGTAAATTCAAGAATAAATTTCACTTCTTTGTAATTTTATTTTCTTCTTTTTCCACTTTACGGTTATTAAAATTGATTCCGTCATGAATTTGTAATATTTTACCCAAGATCCGTCTTTTTTTAAAAAAAAATAAAAAATAAATCCGAGTTAATGTTAGTGGCACAACTTGTACTTCGACGAATGGGACCCGTCTACTTTGTGCTCCGTGCAACTTTTGAACTATTTTAAATGTAAATACACTCGTGAACTTATTTGTTAAAGTCAAGTTGTTTCACCAAATCGTATTTGGAAAAAGTGAACGAGTTAAACAAATTAATTAAAATCATTTATTCAAATACAAAACCTTGACTTGAAAACATGACTTCGTGCTTTAAGCTACATTTTTAACACAACTTCACAAAAATCATTTTAAGGTATGAAAAATAAAATAATTCCAACATGAGAAGGTCATTGAGACTGCTTGATACAACTTATAGAGTTGTTTATAATTTATT